AACACCAACTCTTGACAACGGGGACTTTACAAGCACACATGAAACGAATGCAAAGAACACTCAGACTCAAAGCAACAATTTGTGGATCACACAAAGTGTCGTCCCAAGTGGGGATCGGACCCACAACACTCAACACAACACAGTAGTGAGCGGCGTCGCGACCGCTTAAACCACTACGCCATTCGTGCGTTTAAAAATAGTATACAACCTATAGGTTTCATTTACGCTCAGAAATATTTGATTGGTAAATTTGTTTAAAAGAAAATACTATTTTATTTGATAAATTTCTTACAACTACAAACAGTACTGACAATACAGCTACGCACCAAGAGCTGGATCTTTTGCGTGAAGTGAAAATTATAACATTCAAGTGTTGGAATAACAATTTATTAACATAAATATTAATTAAATGAATACTAAACATTGAAATAGGGAGTATTATTACAAATTTATAGTTCCACATTTTATTCTGTTAGACAATATAATATCATATTGTAAAGTTTCTTAACATAAAACACGTTTCGACGCTATGTAGGTCTTTCTAACAAAATTTTGTAATAAAATTTAAGTAGGGTGAAACAACCAATTATAAGCGACAGCAAGTTCAATAAATTATAGTTCTGTAAGTGGGCCAAGTTATAGACTTTGTTTATGGGTTTTTAACTTATATTTAATACTTTTGAAGAGATATTTGTAATTCAGACTGTCTTCGGACTTATTGTAAACTTATTTTGATAACAAAAGTTCATGAAAATATTGGTAAAGTCTTTGAAATGTTTGTTATAAGGGGTATTTCTTCGATTAGCAACTTTTTTATCTTAAAAATCGGTAAAACTTCCTTCGTGACATGATAAGTGTTATAGTGTGTTATGGGTCATAAATGACATAGGAGGGTAAGTGACTACAGCCGCTTATATACACTTCCAAATCAAAAGACACAAGTGCCTTGTGCCTTGTCGGTCGAATCGACCCACAATTGTTGGAGCATGTCTCCCAGTGTTTTTGTGCAAAGTGCTATTTCCCGAAACATAAAGATAAAAAAACAGTCCACGTAATCGATACATTTATCAATTAATATAAAACATTAAAATAATTGGTATTTCCTAAAGAAAATTGTCACTGTGGTCGACGCAAAAACGTTGTGACTTTGTGACAAACATAAATCAAAGCTAATATTAACTTTGTTTTTCGCGATATCTTAATCATTCTTTAAATGGCTTTACGTCAGCTTGTTTTATTTTTATTCTCGTTTATAAACAACGTGAACTTTTCCATTAAAAGTTTTGGGCAGTATTTTTATAGGTAAATGGAATATTGAAATAAAAGTCAAATAGTTTTTTGGTCGTTAGGGTAAATAGTCCTATTCCGCTAAGTTAAAAAGATGAGTAAGCATGTAAATTTAGTACTTACGGATTTGAGAAACGAGTAAAATATTGTATTGTGTATATAATAACACTCTTGCCATGAACTGTACATTTACAAGATGCACATAAAGAAAATTTTAATTTCCGAAGCATCTGTGAACACTTTAATTTCAATAGGAGGAGAGATATTAGATATTATACTGGTCTGGACGCCGAGGCACAGATATCCTCCAGTATTCTGTGAGATTTTCGTACGTTTCCACTAAAAATGTTCAGTCACTAGCGGTAGGTATTTATAATTGAGTACGGCTTTTGTGAAGTCTTTTTTGTTGAGCCTTCCTTTACACACTCGATGTTAGTTCTTATGTTTGTTGTGAGTCAATTGTCAATATCTGAGAAATAACAAAAAATGTGTGTAAGTGCACTGCAGGTGCGCTATTTTTTGCCAATATCCTTGGGCAAAGGTTCTTGGCACTATTAAACAGAGAATTTTTAAATGTACCTACCGAAACACTTTGGACACGCATCGGTCTCTAAACAGTTGCCCGATTGTGCCACCTCTGTGCTTTTAATTGTAACGATACATCATATTTAAAATAAGACGTTTTTACTACATTACCACGTGACTAATAACTGCGTGTTAATGTATAAGTGATGTAAACAATTTTAACTAATATTTATTTTTATCTTATCTTTGCGACCCTTAACCTCTTCGCATTCTTGATAAGTTTTAATGTCGAATTTTGTTCCAGTTCTAACCTTTTCCTTAAATACTTTAAGTATGTATTCCAAATTGCACGTTGCAAAGGAAGTACCAAGAATTCACCTCGCAGATTACTATACTTACGTTTCCTTCCATTTACTTACATTATTATACTTTCTTGAACATAATAATTCTCAGTAGTACGGAGAAATATTCGCAAGTGAAATCGTTACACACTAAACTATTACAACAGTGGCCGATAATTTTGTAGCGAAGCGAGGTTCATTTTAACGAGCTAAGTAACTAAACTTGGGAAAACTGGGTAACTTGAAAATGTGCCAAGTAGTAGGTTCGAGTCAGTTTATCAAATACTTAAATAATTTATTACAATGCACGTCACTTGCTAACTTTGATTTTCATGTGCCGCCCCGCGCCCCAAGTGTGTTGGTTAGTGTCGTTAGTTAAGCAAACTTATTGCTCGACTATAACCGGTAATATGAGTGAAACAGTACTATGGAAAATTGACCTTACTTGTTTCCGTTTTGCTGGAGAAAAATACAAAATATGGCATCTTGGCTCTAGTGATAAGCAGTTCCTTTACTTAGGCTGTCGCGAGCGCGTTGCGAAGCGCGCTCGCTTCCAGAGAGCAGAGGGAACATGGGGTTCCCACACAGGGGGGGTCGTCTACTCGTCTGTAGATGGCCCGAGGTATGTCGGGGCACCAGGGACTTTCTTTCTAGGGTATACCTGGATCCCCGGCTATTAGTACCCGAGACGGCGTGCGGTTTTAGTCGGTTCGAGTCCGACATGCCACCGATAGGTGGTATCCGAGGGGATTTCCGCACGGAAAAGAAAAAAAAAAAGGGAGGCCCTGTCGAAAAGCCTGATGGCGGAGCAAAATGTGGTTTTATCCGTAGTGTTGAACGGCAAGATGATGCATCTTACCGTTTAGTCCCGTCCAGGTGACGATCCGGGAGGATTTCCACACAAAACAAAGGGTAAACTAATAAACTATAGTCTTATAATAAATAACTGGATCATGTCGGTCCTAAATCCTAATAATTTGATATATAGAACTGAAATGGATACAAAAATCAGTTCTTATACTCCTAACCGCGTACACATACATAATGTGGATAAACGTGGATGGCACCATCTACGTTTATCAGTTCTATGAGATTTATGTATATTTCTATAGAAATCAATGGATCGAGGTTTTTAAATGACAGGAATCTACATAATCGTGAGGTACTGTAAAACATATCTTTGAGATTACTTTGTTTGACTCCCGTTTAGCGCAACTATTTTTAACCCCCGACGGAAAAAGAGGGGTGTTATAAGTTTAACCTGTGCATCATTGTATCTGTCAGTTTGTGTGTGGCATCATAGATCTCGAACGGATGGACCAATTACGATACGGATTTTTTTGTTCCAAAGCAGATGTGATTGAAATGGTTCTCAGATATACATTTTGAAGATCATCAGCTTACTTCCTAGGTGATGAAGGGATCTCACTAAAATTCACAGGTCCGATTGATCTAAAATTTGGTATACTGTTACTTTCTTGGTATTTCCATGCATCAAGTAGTCTGCGGGATAGCCAACACCTCAAAAAATTACAACATGTATATGGCATACATATGGTTTAGGCTTTATATTTTTTTAATATTGTGTTATATATTTGGCTAAATCTCTTTGCCTTATTCTGAGTATATTTAGGTTTAATACAAACTTTTTCCACGAATTCGTCCAAATAGTGGCTGACGCTGACATCTTCTAATGTAGTTATAACCAATCAATCACAATTCCTACTTGTACTACTCAATAATAATGTTTAAATTCAAAATAAAAATCACTATAAAAAACCTATTAATCTATTTTCACTTTAAATTTTTATTTTATTACGTTTTTCAAATTTATTTATTTCCCAACTTTTAGTAGATTAGGGCACAATGTAATTAAGTAACTTAGGTCTTACTAAGTATAAATTATAAAATGTTATCTATTTAACTATATTTTACTGGAGAGGGTTTTCGATTTGGGTTAGAAAGATTTCAATGGTAACTGTTCTTTACTTTTCATTTTGTAATACAAGCAAACTAGCTGACCCGGCAAACGTTGTTTTGCCATATACATTATTTCAATATTTTTGGAACGAAGTTCCTTATCGCGCGTTGCGAAAAGGGGCTAGACGGAAAAAATTAAGACGAAAAGTTGTAACTTTTTGCTATAGTAAGCTATTATAAGCCGTGCGACGTGCGCAAGTTTCTCTGTCTGTCTCTCTCTCTCTCTCTCTTATAGAAAGCAAGCCAGATATTTTCGTTTCGTCTTTCTATTTCGCATTGAACAGTGTGGTGTCGCGACGATTATTTTTGTTGAGTGTATACAGGCTTTTTGTATATAATAAATAATAACAAATAAAATTTTATTACAATTCCTTCACTAATTAATCGAAAGGAACTTCGTTCCATCCGGGTGTCCCTTGACACCTCTCAAGTTTTTTTTTTGTCAAAAAATAATAATTAGGGGTATGAAAAATAGATGATGGCCGATTCTCAGACCTACCCGATATGCAAACAAAATTTTACGAAAATCGTTCGAGCCGTTTCGGAGGAGTTCAACCACGCACACCGTGACTCGAGAATTTTATATATTAGATGGTTTAATAGTTTTTGGTCACTTTACACTCTCACAAGTTTGCTGAAGGAAATAACAAATACATGGATATCTGTTACACAATAATACTAGAACACTTCACGGGTAAAGGAATCTCGATAAATTTGACAAGAAAAATTAGTTTGTAAACAAATTCTATATTAACTCATGTGCAGCCGCGGGAAAAAGCTAGTACTTTATATAGTAATACAATAAAAGAAATTAAAACACCTAGTGTTAAATCACTTGCGCTATATTTCGTAAATACAATAATTAGATCATTCTAAATCTAAATCCTCTGTAGTCTGATTACCTTCATTGTTGAAATAGTTTAGAACCATATTGAACCATGACTGTAAAGTTGAAAGCATACCTGGACTTTCAGATCCATTAACTGACAACGAAGCAATTTCATCATTGTAAAATTCGCTGTCCTGAGCTGCAGGTGTGGGAACTTCTTCAGAAAGATCAACTATTACAGTTGCATCAGACGAAGCAACATCGTCAGAGTCAGGAGTAGTGGTGGAAGCTACTAGTTTTGCCGTAATCACAACAACAGTTTCAGGAACAACTGTTTTAGGATCAAAAGTTTCAGGAAAAACAGTTTCAATAGCTTCAGGACCAAAAGGTTCAGCAGTGACAGGTTTAAGCAGTTTCACGGAACCGGAATTTTCATTTTTAGGAGTCACAGGTGCAAGTACAGGTACAGGTAACAAATCAGAATTATTAGTCTCTGCAACGTCTACTGTCGTATAAGGCTGATGAAGGTCAGTAGCGATATGTGATATTTTGGTATCTTGGTTTAGCTTAACATCCAAGACTTCTTTAATCTTCAAAGACTCTCCTTCATAAACTCCATTTATTATTTCTAATGGTTCGTTATTCTCATCGGGAATAGGTAAAGTAGACACAATCGCTATAAAAATAGTTATCAGTAGGACCTTCATTTCGAATTAACAAGTATTGTGTAGACATAAATGAACGAATTTTGTTATAAACTTGGATATGTCTAAATAATTTGAAGTAATTTGGCAATGAAGCTGACATGGTGTCAAAATATAACGACGATGTCAAAATCGATATCAACAAATGCTACATGATCAGAAACTACGGAGAAAAAGTTAGCGTACTCGCATTCGTTCTCTTTGAAATTAAGTTGCATTCTGGCGCAGAACCTTCTGCGATAATCATATATTATAATAAAGGGATCTAGTTAAGCTATCTTAAAGATACTTAGAAGATTGTAGCTATTGCAGTCTTATATTGTATGTGATAATAGAGTAAGTGTATTCTTTCTTATGCTGAACTATCTTTTTTTTTTGTAACGGCGTGAAAACCCCCTGATGCTGAGCTACCTAGAGGTGCTGAATTATCTAGACAAATATACAGACAATAAAAGAACCATTTGAGGCTATTTTTAACCCCTAATAACTCTGATTTACCATATTTAAATATTTTCAAAACCATTGTGAATGTTATTAATATGATTTTAATTAAGTTAATACTTAACTACAATCCTGTAATTCCCTTTGTTGAAAAAGAAATAAATTTCTTTAAACTTGTGAGGCTTATAAATAATATTGAACACTTTATTGGGGAAGTCTGCTTCTAAATCAGCTATGAAACGTTATAAATAATGACCGCTATCAAATATGTTATGTGTAACCCCGAGGGTAACACTTGCAAATTATAGATATTTCGGACATCTGATACACAACGCCATCTAGTTTCAAACTAAGCAGAGCTTGTACCTACTATGAAAACTAGATTGACTGATAGAATACATAATAGAACATATAATAAATCGAAAACACCCAAACTCCGAAACAAATATTTGCAGATCATACAAACATTTGGTCCGACCCGGGAATCGAACCCCAGATCTCAGCACAGCAGTCGCATACGCTACCACTGCACCACCGAGGCAGTCGATTTATTTATTGGGAAATATATTGGAGCAAATACATATTGATCAGATACTGATATATACTTAGTAAAAGAAAAGATATGAAGAACTTTAAGTAAAAGAAGCTGTGAAAAAGAAATTGGGAGCTAGGGTATTTATACTCCTCAATCTCACAGAGAACATATTAGGGCATAAAGATTTTAATCGCAAACGAAAATACAAATAAGGGGTCAAACAGGTTATTATAAATTACTCATAAACGAACCCTAAATACTGATAAGTTTCGAACAGTTCTCAACTCAATTTTGTATAAAGTACGGGTATCATACCACGGCCCTTACTAACACTTATTCGATAGCGAACAGCTTCAGAGATATCCTTCTTAGACCTGAGTTATCAGTTTGGACACAGTAAGGTTGCCTCTGATCTCGTATGTCGTAAGCATGCACCTGATCTCAAAAAAAATTAACAACGGTTTTGCTCGTGTCAAAATATTTTTTCCAACCATTGAGATCGGTGCTTTTCAAAAGGTAAAAAGTATATGCATTTTTGTACCCGTGCAAATATGTATGCTTAACTTTGTAATGATTCGTTAAGTAGGTCAGATATAAAAGCATAAGGAAAAAAAAAGCCGTGTGGTGTCGTGGGACACCCGATAGGAAAGAAGTTGTTTAAAGTTAAAACTGATTTGACACGATATTAATTACAACGCCATCTATGAAAGCGGCTATTACCTACATGTTAAAAACAATTAAAACAATTTATACATTGGTAAAATCTCCTTGCGAAATGATTTCCTATCTATTCGATAGATGGCGCTGAATGTCTGACAAGATGACACGAAAAAATATTATTACTAATCATAGTTCATACTTTCATCAAATTCATGGCTTACGTTGTATGTTATAATAAGATTTACTTTAATTTAAAAAAAACTTTGACTGAAATCTGGGTAATAGTGTACATAGCATCAACTTCTTTTGATCATTAAAGTGTTTTGAAATATATTTACTTAGTTTTATTTCCTAATTTCAAAATTTCAAGAAAAAAATATAATGTTGACATTTGGGTAGGCCGTGGAAACACTCAAAACCACCAGAAAGATAATAAAATATGAATTAATATTACAAGCCTACACTATACTCACATTTACATACTTACACAAAAAAAAACTATACAATTCAAATTCAAAGAAAAATATAATTTATATTAATAAAAAAGTGTCGCGTCCCAAATTTTTGTATGAATTTTTTCCGTCTAGCCCCCTTTCACAACGCGCGAAAACTTAAAATATTAAATTTATTTGGTTAGATTTTAACTTATTTAATCTAATTTATAGGATTTGATCTAATTTAAGAAGTTTTGACCAAGCGCCTACGCCTTTTTAATGCGCAACGGCCCGCTGTTAAAATATAAAATTTAAAATAATAAAAAATATGAGATTTAAATATATCAGATGTTTACTACTTAATCATGCTAAAACGGTCGGAAGGCTCTGAATTACATACAAACATAGATTATAATCATGTACATACATAAGCTACTTTTTAACAAAATGAAAAAATTGATATTCACGTGGTAGCGACAGCGGGTAAAACCTAGTTAGTCATAAATCTCAGAGAGTCGGTCGACATTATGAATTCATTATTTGTCTCGTCACTTCACTCAGCACTGTAAAACAAGCAATTACACAGTAAATAAAACATCCACCAAGATTTACCTAAAAAGGCTCTAACAGTTTTTCTGCTGGCGATGGCCTTAAAAATCAAACCAGGAAACAGTCAGTTTGGCCGTAACTACCATCCTTTGCATAATACCTCTTTTGGTTACTCATCTTATACGTAACTTTTCCATTATTTTCCTAATATTTTGTCATTTAAAAGGTCATCTAAAACATTTTCCTTTTTTTTCAATTTTCCGTGTTGTTACTCTACTCTTTCATTAACAAGCGTCTGTATTTATAAGTACATAAAGTATATAAATAATTATGCATGTGAATTGTATTCACAGCTCTGGAAAGCTGTAACGACAGCAATACAATGCAGAGCTGTAAGACAAGTTTTGAGGACGACGCGACAGGGCGATTCTCCCGCCCTTTATCTCAAGCCCGATTGCATTCAATTCGCATGTCTACTATAAATTTATAACACAATTTTACGTCTGTTAGATAAACTCGTCTCTGCCAACTTACCTGAGGAAATACCGATGAGGATGAAGTTGATGAATCGCAGAGAAATCTATTCACTGTCTTAAAAGTTTCAGAATTATATTGTCAGACTTTGAAGATTAGAACAAAAAAGAAACTATCAAAGCGTTTAGTTCCACTCTTATTTCTTTTGACAATAAAAGGTTACAACCTCTTTTTGCGTCTGGTAGTGGTAATGAGGAAACGGCAAGGGTCTCATTAGGTTGACCAGAATACTAACATCGATCGATTTATATATTTATATCTAAGTGTACACTTAGGTACAAATCTATAATTTTATTTTCAATGTGTGTTGTAAAATACGCAAAGAAGAAAGTGTGAGCCAATGGTCAAACAAAAGACTCGTTTTTTTTTGTTTTAAATAGTACATATTATTAATTACCTTGTTGAGACAAAATTTACGGAGTCTAGTTTTATAACCTTCTACTACCCTTAATACAAAAGAGTAAACGGGTTGATTATAAAGTGGTTACATATATTTTATTGTGTTGTGTTGTTCTCGGTTTTAATTGTGAAAATTAAAATACATAAAACGAGCATGTGGTTCAAATGCAAGACTTATGACGAAATTAAGACTTATGATGAAAGTAAATTTAATAAACTAAATTATAATATTTAAGGGCCAAAATTAATAATTGAAATTAATCGTGGTTACAACCTTAAATATTAATACCTACCCTACCCTACTACCCTACTGTTAAGAGAGAAACTACTTTAATTTGTATTAAAGATGCGATAATCAGTTTGTTTGTTTGTTACGCTATGGATCTTAATTAGTAATATTTTGGATATCTAACACACAACGCCATCTAGTTTCAAACTAATCAGAGCTTCTATTATGAAAGCTTGATTGACTGATAGAATACATATATACCTTTTTTGTGTAAATACATACATATTATACATTGAAAACATCCAAACTCCGAAACAAATATTTGAAGATCATAGAAACATTTGGTCCGACCTGGGCATTTCGATCGGCCCAGGTCGGACCAAATGTTGTATGATCAACCCGAGAACTCAGCACAGTTTCTACTCGAATCTTTCCTTACGCTTTTCAAAGGTGCAGAAAATTATATAGATACTCTCTTTTATTCAAGAAACTGCTGCTGTGTCGGTGTACGTGAATTGATTTAGAAAATCTACACTTAGCGACTGAAGTATCTACCAAAAGCTAGCTAGTACTACTAATGTTAGATAAATGTATATTAAAAAAAAAACAAGTAATAGCAATAAACTTTAATTTTGGAGCAATAATTATAAAAAAAGAAAAAATAATAAATAATTAAAAAAAACAGATTCTGAGGAAACAATAAATAACATTTAAGGGTTAGGTGTTACTAGGACTAAAACGGGAGTCAGCTTGGGGTCCCACGAACCATCATTTTTGGAGATCGGTGTCAAATCCCCACTTTTAGCTGTTTTCGAAATAAGTTTAAAAATATCACGAAATACTTTCTCAACGCCTTCATCTTCTGCTGCCTTATCTACGTCGTCAAGGCTTGCGCCAGTGGGCACAACTTGTTTTCCTGTTGTGTATGGGGTCTCCTTGCCAAACTGCAGATCCATAAAATCATTTAGGATACCTTCTAGGACCTTGCATGTGCTTGGACCTAAGGTCTTATCTTGAGTAGCATCAGAGAGCTCACGAATTGTCACGGTCGGGAGAGACATTTTTCTGTAAAAATAGTAACAAAATACTTGTTATTATATTGGTGTGTTCTTCATGTTACAATCTTAGAAAATGGGGTCATAATCCATTTATAAGTGCAGTTTAAAAGTTCCCTATATCTATAATAGACTATTTTATCATCATCATCATCGTCATCATCAGCCTATCGCAGTCCACTGCTGGACATAGGCCTCTCCCATTGCACGCCACTTAGATCGATTTTGGGCTTCTCGCATCCAGCTCCTGCCAGCCATCTTGCGCAAATCGTCACTCCACCTGGCCTGTGGGCGTCCTACACTACGTTTACCGAGACGCGGTCTCCACTCAAGATTATATTTGACTTTGACACTTTTAGTAATATTTATATTATAAAACTATTATATTCTACTACTAGACTAACGTAAATCAATCAATTTAGTTCATCTTATAACTGCAATTACGAACGACAAAATAAAAATAACAGCATTTTTTTAATGTAGTTGTTTGTTTGTTTTTTATCTTTTTGTAATTCATTTTTCCATCAGCTTATCTATGGACAACAATATCAGTGTTTTATGAGAAAAACAATTTTATCGGTTATCATACGATAACAGTTATATGTATTGAAAGTTGACATCTACCACACAGTTTGGACTAACGTAGGTGTCCGAGAACACTAGTTTAGTAAGAAGAGACCGTAAAGGGAATCCCGACCATCCATTTTGTAAAAGTTCAATATTTTAGGAGCAAATAGTTTAGAAAATCTTGATTTATTTTTAATTAATATTATCTTTAGCGCAAGGAAACGATCTTTGTCTCTCTTGGTGGTCAAAACACATCTATAAACATGACAGATAATTGATATTATTGTGGCCAGTGGTGGTCAAATACTCAATATATTTTTAAGTTACCACACCTTACCGCGTTAGCGGCTTTTACTCAAGTATTAAACGTAATACTTTAAATAGCGTGAATTAAAGTATTTCGGAAGTTTTTATTACAACGCTAACGTTCATACGGTTTAACTTGACTCGATATCGTATTAAAATTTGACATATAATTTTAACCGACGAAACACACTATGGTGGCAAATCAACTCATATTTACATATATTACAGCATCCTAGTTTAGCTTAAAAAATACACTAAAGACTTAATTTAATTACTTGTCATTCATACTGTACAAAATCAATTTTTCAAATATATTTTTTTTAACATTCAACACAAATCGTTTGGTACACAAAAAGTCCATGTCAAAGATTACTGCGTTATCTGTTGTCATTCGTGATCTATCTTGTTACATACATGTCCGCTGGTATTAAAGATAAGAAACCGACGAGGATAGATTTATTTATTATCCATCCAGCTTACAAGTCGTATCTAATAATCTATAGTACTTTATCTAAAAGTAACATCGACTATACTTTATTTTATAAATATATACAAGAGTATATAAAATTTTTTCGGTAAATTTGCATTTTAAGCTATTGGTGTAAAAAATCATGCAAGATATTTGTATAGAATTGACTTTCAATTCAAAAAGTACGGTCTTATTTTATCGTCTGACCGAGAGTGGGTTTTCAGATTATGTCCTATCAGTAGGTCAATTCTTGTAATAAAATTTCGGTCTCAATTCAGTTTTGATCAACTTTCGATCTCGTAACTGTCATAAAGGTATTTTCGTAGTAATGTATTTAACATCTAACATTGACTGTTATGTGATTTTATCATATTATAACCGAAAATTTAATCGGCAATCTGCTCGTATTAGTAAACTTTACTATTTTACTACGAAAATACCTTTATGACAATTGTTAGATCGAAAGTTAACTGGAACTGATTTGTGACCGAAGTTTTATTACCAGAATTGACCTTCAGATATCAACTACATTGTGGGCTTTTAAAATCAATAACCTTAAAAATGCACGCAAAATATTTGCAAATGAAACTGTTTAAGATGTTTAGTTAAGTAGTTTCATTTGATGTCGTCTTATCCTAGTAGCTTGAACAATCATATCATACGGGTATGCCTAATACTTTTACTGTACTTTCGAATACAGTATCAGTTCTTTTTTCATACCCTAGTTCTTTTGCCTTTTCGTTACCCCATGTTACCTTCTTTCTACTGCCCTTGTGAAAGCGATTAAATGCCAAAGAAAGATTCGCTTCAGACAAGTGGTCGACTTTATAAGAAATCAGAATCCCGATAGGAGTTTGGAAACAGGCAGGAAGATTAAGACGCTGATGTAAAATACAAATGAATGTTTTTTTTTATGGTTTAAGGGACAAATAAACAGATCCGTCATCTCATGATAACTGACTACCGCAGCCCATGGACACATGCAACTCCTCTTGAGTTGCGTTATTTCATATATATACAAGAGTATACAATAAAATTGAGTTCAATGCGGGTAAATCTGCTATTTAAGCTATTGGTGTAAGTTGCATAAGTTTATTGCCGTTACGTCCTTTCAGCGGCCCTTCTCCCGGAACACCGGTTTTCTGTGAGGCCGTGGTATCACTCTAGTCGAGTTGGTTCAGGTGTGTTCATGGTTAAAACGTTATAATGTAAGTGTGTGTAACTGTAAGTGTTAAACTGATAAAAATAATAAAATGACGCTCTGAAGCAAAAAGATATCCATTAATGATATTTTGCCAGCAACGTTCAACGATTTATGAATATTGAATCTTATCTCTAAACGTATTACATTATCCTGTCTCGTCTTTATTATATTTCAGAAATAAAATCATTGGTTATGATTTTATCGAGTTTAAATTTATGGTTGCCTTGTTATTAGTGTCAACAACATAATAAACTGCATTCTACATCATAAAGTTAAACAAAAATAACATACCTACTCGTATTATTATAATTATTTTATTGTTATTTGGTATAGTTAAACTGTATTTTTTTTAGACTTGAAATTGTTACTAAATCAAAATCCTTTTTCTTTATTTTAGTGCTAGAACTGCTTCTTTTTAAAAAAAAACATGAGTTTTTCCTCTACGTGACTTCAGACAGTCAGTTCCACTGATAAGATTATGCGTTGTTCAGTGTACTTTTTGGAAAATGACTAATAATTAAGGTCATAGCAGTAGACATGATTACACAAACTATTTATTATCTGACTAACGACCGCGGTCTTAAGTTAAATTCCTAACTCAATCTTCTAGACGGTGGGTATCCTTGCATTCTATAAATGTGTTAGTTTATCTTATTCTAACCAGTCCAGTATCACCTGCTTTAACAGTCGCTGGTGCTCTCCTAAGGGTCGTAATGCATGACCTTCGTAAATGAATACTCTAATCCAGTGAAGAAAAAACAAACCGGTAATAACCAGATAGAATTTTTAGTTAGAGCAGCGGTTTTAAATAACTAATCAGTCAAACAAGAGAAACATTATATTAGAACAGATAATTGAGTGTGTTAGCTAAATTGTAAAGTTGTACTGGTCATTTGTGTCAATTTACGCTAGTGTAGAACACTCAATAACGAATCCCAATAAAAGTTAGCTGTCAATTCTTAAGTCAGGGTCAAGTGTATCCAGCCAAAACCACAAATACAAGTGAAACTCAACAAGTTTGAAAAAAAACTGAAAGCTGCCTAGCAAAACCTTGATAGTTCACTGTTCTTACTCTTGTAGTAACAAAATTCATCTAAGGTTTTTGGGCGAACTAAAAGATATAATTTGAATTCCAAAAATGGTATACAAGAAATATCTGCATCCTCAGTAATGTGTATGATTCAAACTTTGTAACTAAATATTTGTTACATAAAACTAAATGTATTGTTATTTCATTATGTCAACTGTAGTATAAAATCCACTCACAATTTTAAAAATAATAATGACGAAAGACTATCAAACCGACGTAATGTTATTATAAACCGTTTTATTATAGGTTGTAGGATTACAACGAGTAAAATAAAAAATTTAATCTATAAAACGATTTTTTTGTATTAATATTGATAACAGTTAAGTAGTTCGTACACCTGTGTATAAATAATCTAGAGTACATGCGGTAGTAGAAGCGTGAATCACTAGTGGTTGTAGTGAGTTTGAAGCACTCAAATTGAACGACTAAATGATATTCAAATTAGACAACTAAACCACTATATTTAAAATAGGCGTGTGTAGCACTTATATATTATATCACTTTAGTATATTTCATTAGTGTTAGACTTGTTTTGGATATTCATTTAAGATCAATTACTAAATTATTTATTTACAAGTTTTTTGCACTATCGATAAATATTTATTATAATAAAAAAAGCCAGCACGCAATTGGAAAACCTCAATTTGATTTTCCAATTGCGTGCTGGCTTTTTTTATTTTAAATAAGACCTAATTACACTAATTTTAATGCACATTTTAGATTACGCACTGCGTTTCTTACATTTTATCTTATGCTATGAGATTTAAAGGATGTACTTACATGAAAATATGACGTCAAGTTTACCCTAAACTTGTGTATAATACTAACGTTACTGTTTTGGTACCTGATATATAAATGGTACAATCAGTGTTTGTCTGATAAGGGTCGGGGAGGCGTGACATGGTGAGACCGATGTCAAGATATAACGTTACGATATAAAAATAGTTCCGTAGAGTGATGCATTCAATATTTATTATTTGCCATTGAATTAAGTTAATCGGTGAATTACGGAAAATGTTTTACTTAAAAAAGTATAATAAACTAACATAAATAGAAGATAGTATTTTAGACTCTATGAAATATGAATTTCAATAGATTAATTTATTAAAGTTAATAAAAATATTGTTTAAATATAAAATGCAATACTATTAGCTATTAGTCAAAAACGTCATAGACACTCAGATTCTGTTTTATGAACTGCATTTCCATCACCACTGACCACTTTACAAATTATTAGCAGAAACTGTAAATACAAAACTAGAAGA